GGACGGCGCCGTGCGGGGAGCGAGGCGGCTGCGGTGAGGGACGGAGCGCGACCGGAGATGTTTTCAAGCCCGGCGGCGGCGGCGGCGGCGGCGGCGGCGGCGGCGGCGGCGGCGACAGCGGCGGCGACGCTGACACCTCCCACCATGGACAGCTTCGACTTAGCCTTGCTCCAGGAATGGGACCTCGAGTCGCTGTGGTGAGTCGGGGCGCCACCGCCGCGGCTGGGGGAAGCCTGAGGGGACCCGGCGGCGGCCGCGCGTCCTCACCTGGGCCGGGCTCGGGGCTGCGCGGCCGCGTGGGGGTGGGGTGAGTCGGGGCGCCCGCGCGCGGCCCGCTCCTTCCTCCTTCGGCTGCTGCCCGCGCGGCCGCCCGTCTGTTCGCTCCGGGGCCGGTCCCCTCCCCTGAGTGCTGCCTGCCCAGCCCCGGCGCCGGGAATCTGGGTGCCGGTGCAGAGCGCGGCCGTGGCGAGGAAAGAATCGGCTTTTAGAGCGTGTCACTGACGCCCGGGGATCCACCCTGCGTCCCAGCCCCTCAGCTGCTTGCCCTCTGATCGCGCCCCTTCCCTGTTCTCCAAGAGCCTCGGGCTTCACCCCCGCGACCCCCTTGGAGTTGGCGCCGCGGAAAGTGCTCTCCGAGGACCTTCCAGCCTCTTCCCTGTCCCCGGCTCCGGGCGGCCGCATCCTTTCCCTGTGTCCCACCCACTCCCACCCGAACCGGAAAAGTGGGCACGCAGGGCAGGAGGCCACTGCGTTTCTCCGTGCGGGAATTTCAGTGGCCTGGGTGCAGAAGCTTCCTCTCCTGGAGAGTCACCATTCCTCTGAGCCCTTTCTTCGCACCTCGCCACAGTTGCAGTCCTCCTTCTCCTCCTCCTCCTCCTCCTCCTCCTCTTCTTACCCGACCCCCAGTGCCCCGTGTCCCCTTCTGCCACGATTACAGCTGGTAGCCTGTCGTGCACTCAGGATTGTTTCCCGGGGCGCTCACGTTAAGGGGCTGCTGTAGGTACATCGCAGCTGTAGAAGCAGTTTAATTCCAGTTGCGGTTTCTTAAAAATCCCATTGGTTGCTTCAGTGTCCCTTTAATTACTTCTACCCCCCCAACGCCCACTATCTCTTAGGTGTTTGCAGCCGACCCCATTCAGGTGATAATATTACTGCCTGCATATTCCTGGAGGAAGGGACCGTGTGTTACCTTTAGTATTTACGGGATGAACAGCTGCTGGAACAAGCATATTAACTGCGCTCTGTTCTGCCTCTGGTAATTGCTTATGGTAGAACTGAGCCCCCACCCCCTGTAATTCAGTAAAGAGTTCACATGTGTCTAAAACGGCAAGTGGTGTGCACATGAATATGCAATGCACGATTTTAAAGCTAAACTGCTTTATGATTTATGGCTCATCTAGATGATATGTGGCTATGTGGGTATTTTCAGTGATTTAGGCTTCCAGTGACTCTTATTTTCCTAAAGACAGGTGTAACGAAATAAACTAGACACAAAGCTAGCGCATTATTGAGCAGTTTCTTATAAAAGATCCAATAGTGAGTAGGTACAGCTTGTGCTGCACAATGCTGGTGCCTATAAAACACATAAGGATGGGCCCTAATGTAATAAAACTTGTATATATTACACTGGGAACTTCAAAGAGCCAGGGTAGAAAGAATATGAAACACGTTATTACTCTATAAAAGTTGCTAATTACTGTGTTGCTGCTCTGGGGGTTATTTCAGCCTTTCATTTACAGATACCTATTATTTTACAGGTTTACATTTAGAAATGTTGGTCTCTGGCAGAAATTCAATAGGTTTCCAGATAGCAACTGTACTTTAAAAATGACTTTTGCTTTTTAAAAGGAAGTCTTGCACACTCCAAGGGAAGGGGCTTATTGTTTGGGTGTATTTTAGCGCTGCTGGTCTGCCTGCTGACACACATTGAACCCTCTCATGATCTCTATAAGTGGGATTTTGAATTTATCAGCCATCCTGTGTGAACTCTTCCAGCCTGGGCTCTATTTCCTTGGCATTCCTAATTCCCAGTTGAGTTCCCTGCAGTCTGTCACAGAATACATGTCCGTTGATTTGACCTGAAGTTGATAATTACAGTGTTTAGCTAATATTATTTTTTTTAAAATAAGCTTTATTTTACAGGAGAAAAACCTGTGCACACAGTCAGATTTTACTATGTCCTTTTTTGGCTCATGAAAACATGGGTTTTTCTTGATTAAAATAGAGTAGGACAGTTAGTTAGGCTTGAGTGTTTCTCATTTTGCAACTATAGGATTCACATCTGACAAAAGCTTGTGTTTCTGATAAGTTAAAGATGAAGCAAAAGCCTTTATTATGCATTTCTAACATGGTCAGACATTTTCTCAGTTATGGGTCAGTTTCTGGATGGTATTTTATGTATTCTCATGAGTCCGTGTCTGCAGTACCCAGATTACTGTCATCGTGGGGAGTTGGTCCAGGGGCAGAACGCGTGACTCTTTTTTACTTCCTCTTCTCTCCAGTTGGTATTTTCAAGCTCAGTTTTATGAGTTAATTAAAAATTGAAGTCATGGTTTACTTTTAAGCTCATAAGTGATCTAAGATATCTAATACTTGAGGGCTTTTTGTGTATTTGATTTTTTATATTTCTCATTTCCCTGTTTTTTTTGTAACAGCCCTGGAAGTGGCAAGAGGTAGAATGCCCATTTCACAGATGAGGCCACTGAGGATTTGAACTATTAAATGACTTTGTTGACATTTAAAATGTGATATCAGACATTTCAAGATGAATATTTGGGCTGGGGATATAGCTCAGTGGCATAAGCACCTGCTGAATATTTACTGAACATTTATTTTTGTCATTGTTCTAGGTACAATTCATGTTTTACTTCATCTAATCCTTACAACAACTTTAGAAAGCAAGTACTGTTAATGGTCCCATTTTACAGAAAGGAAAATTGAGAATCTGGAAGATTAAGTTACAGGCCAAGGTCATGCGTTAAAAGTGGTGGATCCATGTTTGAACTGAATTAGTTTTTTTTTTTTTTTTGTATTTTAGGGCAGGGTTTACAGGGTGTACAGGGTCTCACTGCATAGATCGGACTTGTAGTGATCTGCCTGTTTACAGCCTCACAAGACCTGGGATTACAGGAGTGTGCCACCATGCCCAGTCTCAATTGCCCTCTCAGTGTGCCCCAGGGGTGGGGCCAGCAAGGCAGGGTTGGGGGTCAAACTCCTGGCCCTTGCGCTTGCTTGCAGGTGCTTTTATCCACTGAGCTATTTGGCCTGCTCTGAATTGAATTAGTTTCAAAGCCCACTTTTCTGACTTCAAATTCAGTGCATTTTCTAGACTATTGCAGATAATCTCACAGTTTAATAAAGGGACTTGGAAATTAGTTACAGAGCAAAGCTTGATGGACCAAAAGTTAAGGTTCTATCAAAATATCAAAGAAAGAGAAGTCATATTGGAAATGGTATTGATCTAACATTAAAGATCTGAAAACAAAATACCATGACTTAGGAAATGATGCCTGTCATTTATAAATTAACTTATCAAAGTAGACATACATATTAAAAATAATACCATTTGAATAGTTCTTCCATTATTTCATCACAGAAAAACACTTTTCTTTCAAGCGAGGGGAGGAGAAGGCACAGATTAATAGTAAAAGAGAATCTTATTTTTAAGCCTTAACAACTTTATCTCATTGGGGGTATCACTTTCCAATAAAACCAATTGGCATTTTATTAGTTGTGAGTGTGGCTTTGAACTTGAGGTTGCTTATTCTAGTGGTTACAGAGTGTCCTCAAATGACTGTGGAGAGAATCTGAAGGGAGAAGGTCAGCACCCTTTTTTTTTTTTTTTTTTGCGGAACTGGGGATTGAACTCAGGCCCCTGCGTTTGCCAGGGAAGCCCTTATTCCACTGAGCCATCTCCCCAGCCCCTACACTCTTGCACATAATCAATAGAGACAATTCATGGTTAACTCCAGGACCACCTGTACTGCCTCTTTGCACACCTCTGCCTCACTCTGGAACACCCATATGTCAGCTTCCAGGTAGGTTTTGAGTGCAAATTATCAGGTAGCTCCGCTTTTGGGCATGGCCGAGAAGCACAGCCCACCTTGCTGTTACTAATTCTCCTTCCCATTACTAGGCTGAAGCCAGAGTGGGGAACTCAGAACACAGCGAAGTTGCTTGTTTTCTACCCAGCTCTTGTAGCTCTGTTCAGTAAAGTCAAGTCCTGAGATGTGAGAATTCTGTATGTATCCAGAGACCAAATTACAAGGATCATGCACCTCTACTCCATCTCCCCATCTGTTTCCTTCTGCTCCTTCTCTTGTGTTCTGCTGCCAACCACGGGTCTTTAAAGGAATGAGCACCCCTCTCCAAGGTTGTTGCTTTCATCTTTCTTGGTCATCTCTAAATATGACTTTGTGCTTGTTGCTGTAGGGGACACTATGATGAGGGAAACACGAATTGTGCATATTGTTGAGTAGAATGAGACAAGTTACTTTCATGCAAAAGGACATCTTGTCACTGGCCCATTAGAAAGGATACCATGTTCAGGAGTAGGATGAGTGGTGGAGGAGGGAAAGAGGAAAAACTGAGTTTTTTTTTTTTTTTTTTTTTTTTTAAGGCTTCCATGGAAGAGGTGGCCTTTGAACTAAGCTTTGGAAGATGAATGGGATTTTTACAGACAGTGGGGGTGGGGTATTGAGAAGACATAGAGGCATCTTGGGCAGAGAAAGAACTTGAACAAAGGCTTTCATGGTGTCTCTGAAAGATCCCTTTATGAATCATGACGGAGTTACCTATACCATTTATTGTAAAGATACAGAACTTTGTAATCACAAGATGGTTCCAGCGAATAGGGAAAGTTTTTCAAAATGAATTTAAACTTAGGTTTAGCCTTCCTTAAGTATGAACACATTTGTGTTATTGGAGAAAATGCCAAAATGAAATGGCAGATATTCAGATCCTGTTATGCACTCTGCCCCCTTTCTCTGTAGCTTCATGTTAATCCAGCATCCCTACTCTTTCTGTTCATTATACTTTGTATTCTTTCAAATTGTAACCTTTGATGCCTTGATTCACACTTACCAATTTGTTCTACTGAAAGCATTCACAGAATATTAGCCATTAGTATGGGATAGGTACTCCAGGGGAGTGGCTTTTAGGGTTGTAGACCATGACCTACAGTGTGTTTCACATTGTA